TTAGACCACAAAAAAGGCAAATGAATTTTTAAGTCTAATTGATTTTTAAAAGTTAATTTTGACTTGGCGCTGTAGTAATGTTAAATATCACAATCACAGGTAATTATAAAAGCTTGTGGCCGTTCATTCTACCCAAAACGGTAAACGAAGCCCTAAAGTAAAAATCTAGATAGAGAGAAAAATCAAGTGAAGCCATTGGAGTGGCAATATTCACCATATTCTCTCTTTTCTTTTATGATATTTTCATGTAAAACATAGTGTATTTTCACACTCCTGAGAAACATGGAAATACTGCAAGGTATGTGAAAATCGAAAAATGTAAGATGAAGCTATTTTGTAACTCCTTTGGGCTACATCAAGTACATATTACAGGGAAACTTAAACACATTGTGGTCAAATAGGATATTAAAGTCACAGCATTAACCGCACAACCCAAGCAAGTTTAACCACGTATGAACCATACTTATCATGTTTTTAATCTTCTATTTAAGCATTTATTTAGGATAACAATTTTCTACAGCCCAGTGATACACTTCATTTGAGCAAGATTTCCAGTTACTTCAAACGTTGAGGCACACACTGTGAAAACCAGCCATCACCAGGCATCAACATGAGTTTGAATTCGAATACCAGGTCTCATAAAAATTTGAAATGACTCACGGAAGTCTATGTAACTTCAAATTCTGACCAAAAATATTTTTCTTTCTTTCTTGTGTCTTTACATTACAATACAAAGTCCTGATTTTTAAGAAGAAAATGTGGAGGAAAATTAAAGTCATCAAACTGAACTCAAACTACAATATCTGAAAATGTAGAGCAAACCACAGACCAGATTAATCTAAAGCAGTTTCCCTGTCAATGCCCACATTAACATTTCACTTTTAAGAGCTAAATTAAAGAGCTTGCCTGATTGATAACATAGCATTAAAAATTATTTTTAAAACTCACATTCTAAAATCAGCACAAGGGACTACATTTGCACAATTCACTGTTTTATGAAGGTTCAGCAAAATACTTTTGCTACATTCTTAGCAAAGGAAATGAATCTTTTGAAAACTCTCCCCGCTCCCCAAAACCTGGGTGTTTACATGTTCTCTATTAAGCAAATGATTCATGTTCACTGGTAACTGGTTCGTATAGCCAAACACTTCACTATATAGTTTGGTGGTAGCTAATTGACTACCTGCTATATACCTACACATAACTGATCGGATGAACTTGATCCCAGACGTGTATTATGAAAAGCAACTTAATTTGACTACATTTTTGGGGAAGACAAAGGGTAATGCAGCTTTGTAGTGCCCACAAAATTCAAATACTTTAATAAAGACAACTGAACTTGAGTAAACACACACTTACATAATACACCATGTTTTTCCACAGCTACCAGCATAATATGCCTTTAATACTTTCACTCTGATTCACAAAGGACAAAAGAAATCCCCATCAATAAAGGATTAAAAATGGCGCAGGTCAATTCCTGTTAACTTTAGCAAATATCAATCAACGCTTTGCCAAAAATAATAAAATATCCTTTCCGATATAGTGTGCGTGCTTCCATTTCAGTTTTAAAGCCCTTCTGATGATTCCACCCAGGAATATGGAGCTCAGATAACACCTAAACTAGTCATCAGATGAAAATTTATCTTGATTCCTTTCACGACTTCAAGGAAGAAACTACAGTGGACACTTGCTTTATTCGCATTTATTATCTTTGTAAAAACTCTAGCCTTAAATCTTATGATTTATAGAAATAGACCACATCAGTCACCCAGGAAATTTTTTGTAAAAATTGTACAGTCTTTTAATAAAAGAAATGAAAGGCAACATAAAAATTATAAAAGAAATCAAGAAACCTTTGATTTTGTTTTATATCAACTAGATAAATCATCAAGGTAGAATAACGAAACCAAATTAAAGAATAATCTTTTGAAAGTAAGTAAAACTATTGGGGGGGGCACTACACACACTCTTAAAGGAATGTTAAAAGGCTGTAAAGAGAAAACCATTTGTTTTAAAATTTATATCACTACTAAGTAAGATGTTCTGCTTACATTTTGTAGAGAGCTATGTAATTAAAAAAACCAGCCAAACAAAAACCCAAAATACATATCTGAGGCTAAATGTGAATCCCATCCTTACTCAAGTTCTTGGCATTTCAGTCATAAATTGCAATTGAGAGTATGATTTCACCCTCAGGAAATCAGTATTTTCAAATCCACTTATTTTAAAGGACAATTTTCACAATTAAATGCATATCAGTTAATTTTGATGCAATTTAAGAATGCATATCCAAGCATACCCAATATGTCACAAATATATTCAAATTAGTGCCTCATGAGTGTTGGTCATATTGTGCCATCAGTGAAGTTTTTGCAGGGATTTCTCTTTAAAGACTCATGATACAGTGCAGTCATTTTCCCACATTTTGCATCCAATGTATTTGAAATGCATCTTCAGCTAAAATACATTGATTTTTACGACAAAGATTACATGGCTAACTTCATCCAAAAAATAACACATCTGTAATTCATATTGCAACACTAAGGGCTATGTCTTTAACAGCTCGTTACCATCCATATTGTAAAAACCCCCAAAACTGCCTCTTCCCTCATTCAAAGGAAGAAGGGTAACCTTTGTCACGTTTTTACAATGTGCCAAAATTTACCCCAGAGGCAACACCTAAGCGCTGCCTAAGTCAGCATTTTTTCCTTTACAACTGTTTTTAAGTACAGATGATAGAACCGCAAGTCCTGAATGTCTACTACTAAATACCGTATTGGTTTCTCTGGCTCAGAAGGCCTTATTCCATACATCAGCTATTAATCAGAGAATCAGTAATGCTTAGTAAAGGATGTGTATCTGATTACTATCTAAGTATTTATTTTTATATTTGTCCTTATCCAAAAATACTAAATGGGTCAAAAGTTATTTCAGCTGGAAATGTAATTTTACTTGAAGTTATCATTGACTTAAACTGGAGTAGAATCAAGCCCTGAAGCACAACAGCACTTTTTTTTTTTTCAGTCTCTCTTGCTCACACATCATCCTGGAGAGAAACAACATACTAAACCAACAAAAACCAAAAAAATAAAATAAAATTTAAAAAAAGTATCTAGCCAGATGACACATTTTACAAATATTAAACCTATGAGTTGAGCAGAGAAGAAAACAGGAGGGAATAGACGAAAGTGACACATAAAATATATTTATTTCTAAACCAGCACTAGATTTTTCTTCTTTTTTTAAGCTTGTAACAACTTTTTTTTTTAAATTAGGACTATTATTTGACACTATTTCAAATAATGTGGTGGTATTAGCAGAAATCCTACTTAATTAAAAAACAGTTATCATTTTTAAAAAATTTTAAACCAAAATGGACTTTGAATTGGGATTTCAAATGAATTATTACTTGTTTCACAGTCCACTAGGCCCTATTCTTTTTCCCCTCCAAGAAGAGTAAGTTTTTCCCCTCTATAAAACATCAGTGAGTCAAATTTGACCAGATTTAGTCAGCTTCTGTGAAAAAGGAGAAATTTTGTAAACAACAAACAAACAAACAAACAAACAAACAAATATCTCCAGTTCTATAAAAGTCCACTTTAGTTTTCTTTTACCCCAGAAACTCAGAAGAACAGATGTATGATGGAGAATTGCAAAGGATATATGCCACCATTTATTTTACCCAAACAAATAAGAGTCAAAATTCAAGCAAAAAAAAGAGAGATAAGATGAGCAACAAATGCCTCAGAACTGTAATACCTGCATAAGACAAATATTTCATGACGAACTCACATTCCATTTCTAAAAAGAGTTTCTCATTTTCACTAACTTACATCCACCAATTAAGCAATTATGCAATATGTGGGTGTACCTTGCAGTTGTTTTCTTAACATCTGCATTCTGTGTTAAATTCTAACTGTACTAGATGTCTGATATTTTTTCTTTATCTTAAACCTTGGAAGTGGTAGATTTACCAGAGGCAAAACCACACACCAGAGAATATGAGTTCTATAATAAAGAAACGACTCTTCCCCTTCTCCCCCTTCCACCCTGAAGCTATAATAACCTAAAGACACTCTATTGTAAATGGCTTCTTTGGTAATATTGATAGCATGAACAACTCGCAATCATTTAGCCAATGAATGAAGATTTTTTTAGTCCTTACTGTATCCATAACGAATTGCTCTCGATATCATTTTAAGGCAAATTAAAAATTCTGCTACTGCAAAAATAAATTCCTTATAATATTCAGAATGTCTATGCCCTTGCTTTTATGTCATGCATAAAACAGAAAACACTCTATGCATGTTCCTATAAATAATAACATAAAAAGATAAAAATAAACAAACATAAGATGCCTATGCAAGTTAATCCAAAAGGTATCTCTCATTTATCCACAAAAGAGTAGCCTCTATACAGAAATCCTTAATTTTCTAATGATTCCGTATCAAAAGATGGCAACGTTTACATAAAAGTAAACCACTGCTTATGCCAACTACAATAAATGCATAAGGAGGCAAACCACCTTACTTGACCACCGTTTACGCGAGTTTCCACTCTGAAGTGCAATAAATATGGAAAACACCACTGGGGCCACTCTATCCTTTTATTTCCTTTTATATCCTTTTCTGTAGGTAGACTGTAACTCCTCAGACTGACATCCTGCATCTAATTCCACGTAGGAAACCAGCTTTCAACAAAGTCTTATTTGCAGTGTCAGTATGTATAATTATATCGGAAGTTTTGAAGAGAAGAACTAAATGCAGAAACAGCATTTACAAACAGCAGCAAATAAATCAGAAACAACAAAACCTTGCACCACTAAAACAGGTGCAACCACCCCAGTCTTGTAAGAAGGTTAACCCAGTGGTAATGCTGGCATAAGCTCTTCCCATGACCATCTTCCAAAAAGTAAAAAACAACAACATTTCAGTCAATCAAAGTGAAGCAACGCGTTCCCCCTTGAAGCAGAATAAATGAGTGGTTTCTATTCTTACCTGTGTATAGTCAAAGTCAGAAAGAGGAGCTATACTCTTGATGTAGTCCATTCGAAATTGGTTTTCTGGGTTGGCCAATGGAACTGGGGGTATTAAAGTGCTCATAGCTGAAACTATAGTCTAGAATTGGATAAAACAAAAACAAACACATTAATCTGGATAAATCTAGGATACAGGATCAATAAGAAGATAATCCAATCTCATCAGCAAAATGGGATTTCTCTCAATACAATCTTGGAGAGCACAATCCTTATCATTTCCAGTACACCCAAGCATTTAAGAACAGTATAAAGTGTGTTCTTACCACAATCGCATCTTTAACATTTTTCCGAATATCCAGTATTTTCTGTTTCTTTTCTCTGCATTAAAACAGAAATATTAACACTTTGATTTTTCTTCCAAAGCAGTTCAGTCAGTTGCATTTAATTTTTTTTTCACCGATCGCTTGTTTATCTGCTCTTCAATCATTACAACATACCAACTGAAGAGAACAGCAAGACAAATACATTTTTCCCCTTATCCCTTTTCTCACATAGTATGAAGAGCAATGCACATTCATCCCTGATATTTTTTTTAAATCAGACAATCATAGCCACATCCGCAAAGCCTCCCCTGATGGAACTGGAAGTCATTCTTTCGTTTCTACAGCATGCTGTAAACATGCTCTAAATTAACAATACGTAGTTGAAGGCCAACAGACATCTAAAATTAATGCTATGGATTAATAATAGTTTCTGGCAAAGAATTCTTCAGAGAGAAAATGATGTAGCCTCAGAAAACAGAATGATTTCTAACAAACGTGCAAAATTAGTTTCAGTTTTACACTATCCCCAATACCGGAAAAACAACAGCCACTGTCATCCTGAATATGACTTGACATGTATTTTTATATTACAGACAGATGCAATATTTAGTTATTTGCTTCTATGTAAAAAGTAGTCGCCATGTTGTTGCTACACAGGGGCCTGTCAAGCGCTGCAGTAGCAACAGTGTAAAATACAGTACAGGGGCCAGAAGGAGAAAATGCAAATATACAATAGCAGTAATTTCCTTATTCTCGCTCCCCTTCCTCCCCTCCCTCCCCCAAAACGCAGTGTCAAGCCACCAAAACGCAGGGGATGCGAGGAGAAATTTCCTAGCCTACTGTGTGTTAACCTGTTTCCAATATTTAACGAAAAATAAGTCACAAAGTGTCAATAATTCTTACTCTGAATTAAATCCATTGACATGTAGGATTCGCATTTGTTTCACAATAGTGCTTTTTCCTGACTCACCAGCCCCTAAAAGAGAAAGAAGGAAAGGGAGAACATTGTGATACACGGTTCAGGCTGGGGGTTTGGGGTGGGTTTTTTTTGGACGCGACAGCATCTCCCACCTCCGGCAGCATTTCTGTATGTATGCATCCATGTGGCTCAGGCGCTGAGCTCAATCTGTGGACGTCTCGCATATTGCTCAATACAACAGCCTACATTTTTCATACCTCACGCGCACACAACATCTCCCCTCTCCGCTGCGCCCTGCCGCCCAGGCGGGCTGGGGCAGATGCCCCCTCCTCGCCCTCCTCTCCCCGTCCCCCACCTCTGCCCCCTTCCTCCTTACCCAGCAGGAGCAAGCGGTGTGTCGCTTTATAAGCCAGCCTCTCTTTCTGCAACTGCTTCTCTATTTTTTTGTTGGCTTCTCGCTGCGCTTTCTCATCGATACGCTGATCCTCCGTTTTGCTGTTGCCCAAACACCCCATAGCCGCTGCTTAGGATGGATGTCAAACCGTTGCCTTTACAGATTTATTATTTACAAGGGGGAGGGGGGGGGGGGGGGAAAGGCAGAAGTCAAGTCTTTATATCCGTGTGTCCCTGCGACGGTTTCTCTTCTCTTCTTCCCCCCCGGCTTGCTCACATAAAATGGTCTCTAGCCGCTTTCTGATCACAGCGGAGTTGGTTTGTTTGCTCCCCAGAAGAGATGCGGAGAGCAGGCGGCAGAGGTAACCGTGCC